AAACGTCCAACAGCAACAACGTTAAGGCAAAAATATAGTCTGAGGCAATGGTGTGCGGTCAAACATTCAAAACTTTTTCTAAATTGTCCCTTTTTTTACTAACTTTTGAGCTAAATGGCCAGGAAAATTTTTCTTAAGTCCTCCTCAATGGCCGGGATAGCTTTGTTGGTAGGGCACTGGGCCCGTGTCCAAGAATTCGTGACTTCGATCCCCCTGGCCGTGTAGTAAATGGTGGCTGGTGCACGTTAAATCTGTCGAGTCACAAAGTCCTCCATGTTCCCATATCAAATCATACAACGGTATTGATCTAGGAGTTTCCTTGTCTTCTGGGATTGGTTCAAAATGACAAGGCTACGGAATTGAACATTAGTAGTTGTAAACCCAAAATTGGGTCGGCTGTTCAACGACGGATATAAAAAAATAAATGAAGTCCTCCTCAAAGACAAATTTCTTTCAATGCTTGACCCAGGAGTTCCCTTGTCTTCTGGATTGGGTTCAAAATTACAAGGATACGGAGTTGAAAATTGGTAGTCGTAAACTGAAAATTCGGTCGGCTGTTCAACTACGGTTATAAAATAAAATAATTTCCTAAACAGAGCCGTGGGGATAGAGCCTTGACTGCGGTGAGCCTGGTACGAATCCCAGCCATGGCTAGTCGAAACGTATTCCGCAACCGGCTTGCACCGACCACATTGCTGACGTTATATATCCTCAGTGGTAGACGGATCGTGGGTTAGAGTCCCCTTGCCGTCAGGCTAACCGTTGGGAGTTTTCATGGTTTTCCTCTCCCTGTTACTCAAATTCGGGTTAGTTCCACCAAAAAGTTCTCCACAAAGGTAAAATTTTTCCCAATACTTGATCTAGGAGTTCCCTTGTCTGCTGGATTAGGTTCAAAATTACAAAGCCACGGCTTTGAACATTGGTAGTCGTACACTTTAAATTGGATCGGATGTTCAACGACAGTTATAAAATAGAATAATTTCCTAAAGTGCCGGGATAGCCTGGTTGATAGGGCGTTTGATTCGTGCTCGGGAGAACGGAAGTTCAAATCCAGCCGACCGAAGAATCCCCGTGTATTAAATGGTGACTAGTGCGCGTTAAATTTGTCAGGGTCACACAGTCCTCCAAGTTCCCATAACAAATCATTACCTTTAGGGGTACTGATCTATGAGTTCCCTTGTCTTCTGGATTGGGTTCAAAATTACTGGGCTACGGGGTTGAACATAGGTAGCAGTGAACTCAAATTTGGATCGGCTGCTCAACGACGGTTATAAAATGAAATAATTTCCTAAACAGCACGCAGCAAACTTTACATAGTTTTCTTCTTCTGTTTTTCTTTAGTCAATTTTTCAAAATGTGAGTCAGTTTTGAAATTTCGGGACTTTTATGTATAAATTTTATACTTCGTTTATTTGAATCCTTTTCAATTAGTACTTAGGATTCGGTTAAACGATAAATAATTTCGTACATTTAGTTTAACCTCAGTGTTTTATATTTTTCCTATAACGCTCAAATTAGATTTATTTCAAATGCCTATTTGCTTTTGTAATAAGAGTGTGTTATTGATAATTTCATAACAATCTGCGTAAAAAGCATTTATTTTGTTAGCCAACAATTATTGAGTATATAAAATGTATTCTCAGTTTTTAATTTTTTGTAGATTTTATTAAAGACTTCTGTTTTAAGGTTAAATAACATGTGTTTTAAACGAAAATATTTGTATGATATTATATTATGTAAATATTTGTAACATGCATTCATACAGTTAGTGTTCGATGTTAGTATTTATATTTACATTTTTAATATTAGATGTGTTTTGAATAAACTTTTATAAAGATTTTATTGTTTTAGATTTATTTATATTAATCGTTCAATAAGTTAAATCAATGTTCGTCATATGTAAGATGAGCTAATATCTTGGTTGATTCATTTTGTTGAGTAACAATCCAAAAATATTAATTTTAAATTAATTTTTTTCCTCTTCTTTGGTTCATTTTGAGTTTGATTTTTTTAAATAGTTCTTAAGGCAGCTTTAACTAAGAAAAAATATTTTAATATTCAGGTTATATATAATAGAAACCCCATTTTTATAAAAAGATTATTAATTTTCTAACCTAAAAAATTATCAATATTAAAGTGAGGGGTATAAAGGAACTATCTTGAATTGTTTGCGGGATGAAAATATCCAAACCAGTTTAATTGTCTGAAATTTTTTTTAAAAAATAATAATCAACTTTTCAATGCCTGTTTCCTCCGGCAATCAAACTGGTTTCGATGTTTTCTGTCTGTCCTCAGTACATTCTCTGAAATAAAATTTTCACTTTAGTCGTTGATTGTGAGAATCATTTCGTTATGAAATCATATGATATGTGACAAAACGTGAACTCTTGACAAAAATGTTTTCTCAATTCCGAACCTCATCGCTAACTCACCGCCTCAAATCTACGAAAGTAATTCTTAGTTCGAAAAAATATTTCTTTACTCTTGACGAAATTCGTTTCCTGGAAGAAGTGATAGTTATTTATTTCGTCGCTTTCCCCAAATTTTCGCTCGGAGCATATAACAGGAAACGTCTTCTTCAAAAACGGCGAAAGTTTCGTGGAATTTGAGTATTGATTTTTTACAGTGTTTTCACCCAGAAAAAAAAAATACTAATTATTGACGATTTAGTAAAACTTCAGTTGCATTCCTTTCTGTTTTTCACAATTTCATCTCGTTAATTTTTGACAAGGAGTGAACTCCTGGATATTAAAACAAACTTCGTCCTCACTTATGAATCGCGTATAGTTTGTCTTAAGTAAGAACTCCCCTAGCCATTCGTCTGACACCATGCCGGTGATTATGGTAATGAGGTATAACTATATCAAGTAGGGGTGTGGGGTCATTGCTTAGGACAGGTTTTGACCCGGGTTGACGAGAAAAAGAATCTTTTTCTTCCGTCTAAATTGTTAGCCCTAGAGAGAAGAGAAGCTACCCTCCCTGAAATGCACTGTTCTATAGCAACAGACGTCCTCAGACTTTGTGTTCTTACTGTAGACAAACTGAACTTGAGTTAAAAGCCGTTTTCTTTTTGTTTGTCAAGCACGTTCGATTCCTGAGTAACACACTAAACTGATCTTAAGACACGCTTCTCAGTAGATCACAGTAGTCAAACATCACTGAGCGGATGGGTAATAACTTAGATCAGTTTGCGAAGAGACCGAGGATGTGCGGTATCGGGGTCTCGTTAAACTGTTCTACCTCGATTCCGTGAGCAGGTCATCGGGCTACCAAAGCGAATCCCCTCTGCAGAGAATCAAAATTATGATGGCATGTCTTCGGATCATCTTCATTGATGTTTCCCAAACCTTCGCCAATAGCCCATTGTGCAGCTCTAGTGCGACGTAAATAAAAGTACTTTTACACCTTTTATTTATGACTTTTTTCATACCTTTCCATCTAAAATAATTTCCACTTAGTCGCTGTTGTAGTTTATTTACGTTGCACTAGAGCTGCACAATGGGCTATTGGCGACGGTCTGGGAAACATCCTTGAGGATGATCCGAAGACATGCCATCACAATTTTGATACTCGCTGAGGTTATGGCTCAACTACTTTGGTAGCCCGACGACTTGCGCGCGAAGTCGAGCACTTTATGGTAGAACAGTTGAACGAGGACCAATACCGCACACTCTCGGTCCATACGCAGACTGATCCAAGTGGTCACCCAGCCGCACACGGACCACAGCCACTGATGCTTGACTTCTCCGATCTGCTGGGAACCGTGTCTTAACGATCAGCTCACTGCGGGACTCAGCATTGTCAATTATTTAATAGTTATTTTTTAGTTTGGGTAAATGAGCTCAATATATGACATCGAGATTTTTTGAAATTTTTGCAGGGAATTTAATTGTTGATGATTAGGAAGTTTAGCCCTCTGCTCACCAACCACCGTTATTAATTTTCATTCATTTATGTTTTTCTTAAAAGTCAATATTTTTCGAAAAACAAAGATGTTTTTTTTTATAAAAAATAAATGATTATAATTACGTGGAAAAACATTTCGACATTAATTAAAATTTTGATAACTAAACAATTATGCTAATCGTAACGATGTAAACGATTACCTGAATTTGAAAAATAATCTAGTGTATTTGAAAAATAATCTCGTGTATTTGAAAATAATCTAGTGTATTTGAAAATAATCTAGTGTATTTGAAAAATAATCTCGTATATTTGAAAAATAATCTCGTGTATTTGAAAATAATCTAGTGTATTTGAAAATAATCTAGTGTATTTGAAAAATAATCTCGTGTATTTGAAAAATAATCTCGTGTATTTGAAAAATAATCTCGTGTATTTGAAAATAATCTAGTGTATTTGAAAAATAATCTAGTGTATTTGAAAAAATATATAAATTTAGGAATACAAAGTGCGTGACAATAGGAGGAGAAAAATTAGAAATAGCTTATAAAACTTAGAATTAGAATAACCTTATATCATAATAACAGTTCAAATTTGAAACGTTTCTTTTCTTCTCTTGAATTAAATTTTTCATCTTTTTAAAAATTTCAAGTTAAAATCTATTGTAAGTTTGACAACAGAAAGAAAAAAAATTAGTTTTGGAATTCTTTAGTGCGGAAAAGTTGTCCAGTGTAATAAAATTAATAACGGGATTAAAAAAAAAAACAGCATAGCGCAGTAAATCAAATTTACAACACGCAGTTGCATCATATGTTATCAAATAATCGTACTGTCCTAGTTTATTAAACTTTTCCATTAGTTATGCAATAATTCGGATTTTTTAAAATCACTAAATTAATTTATATAAGTTGAAAGTAAAGATCCTAATTATATTTTAAATAATCTAATTAGTACGAGCATTAAACATGATTTTGCAGCAAAATATTTAATGTCATCTACTTGGTGATAAGTATTTTATTTTATTTTTTTCTTGAAATAAATATTTTTAGGTTAGCAGCTGTATTTGCACAAGTTTGATTTTACCCTGAAATCTTATCACTAAAAATTTTCTATCACTGAATCTTCTCTTAATTACATTCGATGCTACAAGTTTGTCCGAAACTATTATCAGTGAATCTTCGATCAGTTTTAATTTGTTGCAAAATGTTTTTCTTATGAATTATAAATTTTTTGTTGTTCTATCTTGTATTTCATCATGGCAAAGAAATATTCTTATTTCAACAATAACAGTTGGTCTTTTTATTCGTTGAAAAGGTAAGATGACTTATTTAAAAAAAAAAAATTCAAAACTATTATTGTATCGTGGTGCCACCTATACTTACAGTATTTTATTTTATCTTATAATCAGCGGTGAACAACCGAATCATATTTTGGGTTTACGACTATTAGCCACCTAGCCTTGAATTTTTAAAACCAAATCGGAAAACAAGGACACTCCCGAATAATGCATCGGGACAAACTAGTTATTGAAGAAGCTATATTATTCCTGCATTTGCGTTACATGGAAGAGAAAAACACGAAAATCTTACACTGTATGGCTGATGACCAGCGGATTCTAACCCATGATCTAGCAACCACTGAGGCTGTTTTATGTTAGCACTGTGGCCAGCCGGGTACGGCATTTACCAGCTATCGCTGTGATTCGAACCTGGGTCATCTCATTGGGAGGCCAGCCCTCTATCCCTTAAGCCATCCCGTCTCATACCATTACTGCAGGTTATTGCTCTTAAAAATTGCTATGTGCCTTCATAGTCAAGGATAACTGTCAGCAACCTGTAACTAAACTGTTACCAAACCGCAGACTGCAAGCACTCTAAGGGTTAGAGGTAACCGGTTCGTTTCTGATTGTAATTCCTATTTATTCTATAACTGTTCAAACTGGAAACAGTTTTTATCTCTCTAGAGTCTTTCATATTTTAAAAATATCGATACAAATATAATAATACGATGTTATATTATATCGATATAACATATCAGTGTTTCGTTCATTTTTTTTTTAAATATTCAACATGTTTTCAATTATATTGGTGAATTTGCCGACCAGTCTGTGTAGGGGGCAGGGAACTGTCCTTGCATCAGAAAGGTTCTTGGTTCGAATCCCGGGCAAGGCATGGATGTTTCTTTCCCTCTATCTGTGTTCTATGTCCTTTCTCCTTTGTGTGTGAATGTGACCCGCCCTATAAACGGGTTGTGGTAGTGTGACGTGGGCGACGCTGTTCCACCGCCGTGGCTTCGCCACAGGTGCCCACTGGGTAACGAAAAGAGAATTAGCAGTTCTGGCACTTTCTGTGACCAATGGACAATAGCTCCAAGTGCCCGCCATTTAAAAAAAAAAAAAAAATATTGGTGAATTTTGTAATTTATTTACTCCCCTCTATTGGTTAATTTTTTTAAAATCTCATTTACTCACCTGATAGACCCGGTCTTTCGTGTAAAGATTTCTATTTGTTTTCAGTTAATTGTGTATTATTATGTCAGCAGTACTTTAACTCATATACATGCACTTAAATGTAGGCTGTACGTTTGGGTGCTACTGTCTTCAATAATAAAATTAAACGTAAGTGAAGGACCGGCGGATAGATGCCCAATCATGGAAACTCACCACAAAATGTTTAAACGTAAGTATAATATTAAATTATTTTTTTTAATATAAAATTACAAAAAATATTTTTTATAATTTCCACAATGTTTTCTTTCGGAACTATGCTCAACGTAGTTTTTGGTTCCATATTGCTTCCAAACTTAAAATTTCTTGAACTGTTTGAAAATTAAGACAGAAACTAACGTACTTCTTTCGCCCATGACTCTCCATACGCTATTGGTGAAAGTAGTGATGTCATTTTCGACCAATAGCATGATCAGGCCACTTTAAAATTTAATCGCTCGTGTGAAAAAAAAGGTGGCGGAAAACAAACAAGATTTTGGTCGCCTTTTTTATATTTAGACATCTAGCAGTTTGTGGCGACCACTAATTTTGCTCTATAGTGAGGAATCTGCTTAAAATAAATGTATGGAATGCATACCATTTTATGGATGTATTTAAATTTCTACTCATTATTTCTACTATGGAATATATCATCCTAACAGTTTAGTCAGGAGAACGGTCGAAAGCTTTTCCTTAATATAATTTTTACTTTTCGCGTATTTCACCCCATTTTCGAAACTAATTGTTTTTCAATTAGTATATTTAAAATATGCCAAACAGTAATCTCCTTCAAAAATAAATATTTGGACTTCATTATAATTTTTTTATTATATAATTTAATGCATAAAATTGCTTCGATTGTAAGTTATAAAAATTATAATTTATCTAAAAACATGCAATTCTAAATGACAAAATTTTAAATTTTGTACGAAATCCGTACAAAAGTGTCCGAGAAAACGAAATTCAGAGCTGGGATTTCTTTTGTTTCAAATCTTTTGTTTCAAATTCTATTGTTTGACATGTTGTTTGACATTGTTGTCTATTGCATGACATTTAGGACAATATAAAAAGTTTTAAGTGTTACAACCTCTAATTTTAAAATTATTTGTTCATGCGTATGTATTTTTGATTTTTTTTTTTTTGAGCAGGAAAAATGGCGATTGGCCCAAATGATTTGGTCAAGAATTTGATGCCAAAAGGCGGGAAGAATTTAGAATATTTCGTAGAATTAGAATTGATGTTGGAAAACATAGCCGATAATTCAAGTCTGTATGTATTCTAATGTTTCTCCCATATAAATGCAGTTTTGTTCTAATAACTTTTTTAAGGGATATTTTTAAAAATCAAACAAATATTTTGAAAAACTAGTTTAAAATAGATTTATTGAGAACACAACTTTTTTTTACGCAAAATGCTGAGCCAAACTTTTTAACTTGGAGATAATGTATTTACTTAATCTCTTTTATCTTGATTTTGTAATATTTTCATAATGTAAAAGAATTTTTTAATCAAATACATATANCGAATATATATATATATATATATTCTGTAAATAGTATTTATTGATGACGTTCAAACGATTATAAATTTTAATTTCAGTAAGCTTTTTTTCTCAAAAAAATCCAAAAACTTGAAATTTTCAAGAAATATTTTTCCCGAAATCAAATTAATAAATACCAATTACTAATACAATATACATTAACCGAAAGTTTTAAGAAAGAACTGCAAGAGGGTAACGCCTTAAAAATGCTGTCCGAAATTTCCTATTCAAATTATTTCTCAATTTTCAATTATAATTTTTTAATTGTTGAGCGAGGACACAATTTCTCATAAACAATTGAAAAATTCTATGCGCTATTTATTTGTTAGACACAATGACTTGACAATAGGAAGGTGAAAAACACATAAATTCATGTTCGCTAAAAGGGATACAGATCTGTTTGGTAAGTGTTTAACAGTAACACAAGTTCACATTTGTAATAACTTAAGTTACTTACTTTAAAAGTGTCTTTATTCAAATAAACAGTGAGTGAACTCTAAAAGCCTCTTTTATTTTACTGCTTGAACATAATTAATTGCTCTTAGATGGATTTCTGTGCTTACCATACCATGGAAGGATTTCTTTGCTTACCATACCGTAGATGGGTTTCCTTGATTACCATATACCATATATGGGTTTCCTTTGCTTACCATACCATATATGGGTTTCCTTGCTTACCATACCATAGATGGGTTTCCTTGCTGACGATACCATAGATGAGTTTCCTTGCTTACCATACCATAGATGCGTTTCCTTGCTTACCATACCATAGATGGGTTACCATACCATTATAATTGTATCATTATATACCGTTCTACCATTTAACGGTATTCCATACCGTTAAATTCATTAGAATCTTGCCCAAGTCAAAAATCTTGATGGTCCCATCAAAACATTTTGATGATTTATATTAGTTTAAGTGCGATTCATGGTGGTCCAACATCATTTGATGGTCACTATCATCCAACATTTTCCATTATGCTTTCATGGTTTTTGATATGCCAGCAAACTTCCATCATTCCATGATGGAAAATGCTACTTTAATACTATGATGATTAACCATCAAGAGAAGTTCTTGCTGGTTCTCAAGAATATACAAACAAAACAAGTTGCTATTCTTATGTTGGACCATCACAAATCAGTCCGAATTCTTACAATGGGGTCATGGTTACTTATGTTAGTTACCATCAAAAAATATAATGGTTCATGATAGAATTATTGATGGTTATCATTAAGACTATGTTGTTCCATCAATAGAAAACCATCAAAAATTTTGACATGTGTAGGTATGACGCACCAGTTGAAGAAAGGGATGAAATCATTGATAAACTCCGAGAGGAACCACAAGTGAAGAGAATCATCCAGGAATGCGAACAGCTTCATCTTCATCCTCCTTGCCATGCATCCCTCTACAGAACTCTGGACGGTACTTGCAACAATCTCATACATCCTGTGTGGGGAAGCACTTTCTCTCAACAAGTTAGACTTTTGCCACCTGCTTATGAAGGTACTTTTACGTATTTATTTATAACAGCCGTTTCGGTTTACGACCATCATTTTTAAAAAAAAAATTCCTTTTCATTTTTGTGTTTATTCCATCTATAGTTCGTTCACCAAGAGTTGACACTTGGCTCCACCTCCTCTGACGAAGAGTTCGTTTCAGCGCGGGAGAAAGAGGAGAAACGTCTCCAAGCTTGAAATTGAGACAACCCTGAATACTTGCAAACGCAAAAAGTGAATTCTTTTTCTGTCACTTACTTCGCTTCATCATCTGCTATTGTTACTCTTGTAAATTAAATATATTTTAAATTTAAAAACTGCTGTTTTACCAGCGAAATGTCTGAAAAAGGACAAACTATTCACTCAAACGAGAGAAATATCAGCCAAATTTATGAAATATTTAATGTTAAAAAATTGCACATAAAGATTACGAAATAAATATTTTAGTTTTAAGATCGTCAAACATCAACCTTGTTCAAGATTGTTCCTATCCTTCTCCTAAAAATAGAGAAATAGTATCGTTGGATACCACGTGATGAAAGCGGAGTCAAGTGCCAACTCCTGGTGAACGAACCATAGTCGACGTGCTTTAATTAAATTAGCATGAAAATTTATTAAATAATGAAATTTGATTAGTGATAGTGTTTTTGATATAAATGTTAAGGATAATCTCGAGTTCTTGACCTTCTGGTTAGAAAGTAAGTAAGGTTTAAGTACCCTAAACTCTAAGCAAGACTTTATTTTAAAACTAAATTTATTAGCTTGCTGAACAAAAATTTCTTTTTACTTTAAAACGCACAAATAGCTTCGATATTAAATATATATATTAATTATACTTTACTAAGATCGCCAATTTGACGAAATTTTTCGATTTACATGAAAATCATTAGAATCTGATCTATCTAAATCACATCGAAAACTGCAGTGTTGGATAAACGTTTCTCGTGCTTAAAAGTTTGGTCATAATTTTTTTTTTATTTTCATAAAAATGTGGGATGATTCCCCAGTGAAGAGACAATCAGATACTATAATTTTACTCAGATTTTTTTATGACTATTAATAAAATTTTTACGTATACATTTGATACTAAGGATATGTCATGCATAGACACACAATTACAAAATTCTTTTGACAAATATATTAACATTGTATGTCATGTGGGGTACAGAACATTGGAATCACCCAGTATCTTTCATTGATATTTTGATCTTTTTTCGTAATTAGCAAGGATGGCATTTTCTATAGATGTATTGAACTTAAACATAAGCAGCTATGATTAGCTGTTGCAAATTCATAGAAATTTTAAAAGTAGCATGATATTCTCAAAAAAACAATGTCTCATATATTGCGATGGTTGAGCCCTTATTATACTCTTTGTGAATAGAATAGACGTCTCAAGATTACGTGATTTCCCCACTCTGTACACTTTTCCACTCTTTGTTACTATGATTTTGCCAAATATCTCTCTTTTGCTTTCCTCCCCCCCCGCGACTGTACGTTTCAATAAGAAAAAATATACGAGAGTTAGGAAAAAGCAAGAATAGCCGAAACTCTGATAACGGAGAGAAGACAAATCGCGTAAATTTGAGGCTTCTATTCTAATTACAAAGAATATAATCTTGCTTTTACGCGTGCCAGAATATTCCAACTTCTTTCTGATACATGGGGAAAAGGCAAGATTTGTTGAACTATGGAAAAGTGTGAGGAATCACGCAACTTTGAGATGCCAATTCTACACTGCTCAAAAAAATTAGGGGA